AAACCTTGTTGAAGAATAATCAATTTAATACATTTTAGAGTGTCAGGATGGCCTGCTATAATAATAACATTAATTTAGTTTTTTGTTTTTTTCATTTGTTCTTATAATTATTTGACCACAAAGGTTATAATAATAGGATTAAAATGTATCAAATATTATGTTTTTATTAAATTAAATATAATTAAAGTGGAATCTCAAGCCAATTATTTTACAACTCAAGCACAACTTGAGTCCAAGTCTCAAGACTAGAATTTCTATCTCTGCCATACAGAAATGTGCATTCAATGTATAGCTTGGACGCCATGACTGATTAAATTGGATCACTGACAGATTAACAACAGGATGACCTGACTTAATCAAACAGCCAGCCGCATCAGAAGCTTACGCGACCCACGGATCTACAAATTCAGACAAGCCTGCAATGTTTCCCTAACCTTTTCCAGAACATCTCCGATCCACTACATCACAGGAAACAATAAAAATAGCCACGCCATCCAGTCAAGCATTAAGAACGACAGCAGCGGGGGGTCCAGGGCCGGTTCGACTCCTTCCCCAACCCCCCTCAGCTTCCTGGGTCCTGATTGATCTCATGGCCCATCGGCAGGTTAAATTACACTGCAGAGTGGCTTTTCAGAGAGACAAAGGGCCCAGGATTTCACAGGCCATAATTCTTTCCGGGCCTTAACTTTGAAAAGGTGCAGCATTCAATTTCAGCCCTCGGCAACACTTTGCATTCGCTTATGAGTTATGACACAGCCATGACGTTTGTAACTTACTATACGGACATGCGGAGGAGACCTGCGTACCAATCAGACCGAATGGAGGATGGGTGGGAGAAAAAAAACACAAACTCTCTGTCAGCACAGAGCATCAGTTATAGCCAAATTTAATACAGTTCTTCTTCTGGCTGAAGCTAAAGACGAGCTGGATTCTTTCCACATCCTACTTGCAGAAAGCACTGAAGTAACGTCGAAATGAAATCATTTACATGTACATTCATGTTTGGATCTCAGTCCGAATTGACATCCAGGCTCCCATAGTTTCCTGGCACGTTGGGAATGGAGAGGAAGCCCAGGGAATGGCAGAGGCCTTTTGATACTGCAACTCTGCCGAACCAGCAACTCGGAAGCCAGGACAGCATGAGATCCGGAGAAAAAAAAACAAACAGCCAAAGCACAAAAAGACCAGCTGCTTCGAGATCATGGGTGTCAGCGGGGGGGGAAAAAACGTCTTGTTAGAAAGAATATAATTGAACTTGTCTGGAAAGTAATAGCTTTTCCCAAAACTTCATGCATCTGTTTCACGCTGATGAAAATATACAGTGAGGTAAATATGCAACTGAAACTAATCTAAAGTGGTTTAGGAGATATAAGTCCTCATCGATGACATTTCCAATTTACTCTAGCTTAAGAATCTGCCCATATTTGTAATCATACTACGTGATAAGCATAGCTTTCCAATATAAATCCACAAGCGAACAGCTAAAAAAGGCACCATGCTAAAATGCAAATCCTGATTGCCTGACAGGAACATTTCAAAACACTCAAGCTGTCAGTGAAACAACTTCGACATCCAAGAACCTACTAGATCTAAAAGTCACAGTTCTTTATAAGTCAAGCATTAAAGCATGTCTTACTTCTCAGGAGGTGCCGCTATTTGTGCTATTGTTTAGAAACAATATCAAATCAGCAATATGAAGCCGCTGAGTTGTTTTAGAGTAAACATGAGGGGCAGCTACTGTAAAAAGTCACTGCGCAACGTCATTGAATGTCCTAAAAGGAAACAAGTTACGATAGTTTTCTAATAAAAAAAAATGGGAGGTTGAATGTATGTCTCGATTAGCATAAGACTCTGAAGACTTTTGATTAAATCCGCTTTACAAGAACTGGATATAACTAAACAGATCAATGCTCAGTTAAATAAAGTAAGGTAGCATTTTTCATCCCTGCTATTCCGTCTGTGTTAGTTGGAGATTCGTTTATTGTTTGAACAATCACTCCTTCTTTATTCCGCAGTTGGAAATAGGCCAACAAGGCAGCAAAGGAATAATGGTGTTAATTAAGACACCTGTTCTTCTCTGAATTCACTCACCTAACCGTTGCTTTCAATAACCCCAGAAAATTCTGCTCTACATTTAAAAACTGATTAATAAAGAGAATATGTTCAGGTATAATGTGCTTGTAAAAAGAGCAAGCATTGGGGATGCAATGCCGTTAATCAGATTGATTGGAAACGTCTTTACTGCTAAAGTGCAGAGGACAAGTTTGAGATCTGTCAAACCACGGGCCGGTATTGATGTTTGCACCACTTCAATCTCACGCAGCACCCATTCACATCAAAGCACTGAACTGGATGAAGACCTAAGCAGTTTTTTGTTTGCTGTGCTCTGTAGATTTAGATCTGAAATATATGCAAGTATATTAACGCTAATGCTTCTAGCTACTCGATTTCACGCGTCAGTGCATCCTGGAATGCAAGTCCAAACTTCTACGGTCAGTTTTCTCCTTCAGGTCAACAACTGTCTTGATGGAGCAATAGTTTCTTATAAGAGAATCTTATAAACATATTAACAACTCTTTGTAATCTCTCTATTCTGATCGATTCAAAATATGGTTTAAAGGGATATATCACCCCAAAATGAAAATGTTGTCATTTAATTACCATCATGAAGTGAAGGACAAAAGAAAATGCTTTGAAGAATATAGGTAATCAAACCGTTTTGGTTACCACTGACTTTCATTGTATGGACACAAAAAAAAAAACACTGAGACATTTCTCAAAATATCTTCTTTCAAGTTCTACAGTAGAAAGGCAGTCATACAGGTTTGAAATGACGTGAAGTTGAGTAAATGATGACGGAATATTCATTTGATGAGAATTATGCTTTTAATAGCTCCCTTTTTGGATACTAAGGTTTACAGATTTGTGCAAATATATGTTAAATGAAAAAGTGCAATGGCACGTTCCAGTCACGTCGGATAGACTGTATTAAGGAGCTGATAGCATGTGAATGGCACCACAAAATTGCAATTGCAAGTGGGAAACTCTCGATTTTCTGTAGTTGATGGTACATTTTTTAAAAGTGTATAAAGTTTCATGTACAAAATATAATTGTTTTGTACAATTACGAATATTTATTTATTGTTTATAACAATTCCATTTACAACACCTTCATATATTCAATGAAGTAAAAACACCCAATATGCATTCTTCAGTTTGTAAAAGTAGAGTTAAAAAACAATGCTGTATTTTTTGTAGAAAAGGTACGTCGCCATCCTGTTCCGATCAATGTGATTTGAATGTGCCTGACATCGTAATTACAACTTCCCAACTCATAAATACAAACTTCCCAGGAGGACTTGGACACACAGTCATTTCTGTCCCACTAATTTCAACAAACGCTGAATGTTAATAAATGCTTCCTCAAACTATTGGTCAGATAAGCAGATCGTGCTGCCAAAAACTGAACAAATGTTGGGCTGAGCAATGTTAAAAGGGCTATGTTTACACTTTTTCGGAAAAATCTGATTACAAATGGATGACTGGTAGGAAAAAAATAGAATTAACATTTTTTTTTTGGTATTTTTAAAAGTTTAAAAAGTATTTACAACAGAGCCACAAATGTAAAATGATTACGCTTTTATAGATTTGTAGTCCTGTTGTAAATACCTTTCAAAAATACAAAAAATTATGCTAAAATACTTTTTCTAAAAAAAAAAATTTAAAAATACAAGCACTTGCATTGTGCACAAAGTATGTTTCTGACCATATTAAATGTCTGAATTAACAATGAATACCTTATTTGAATATGTCAGTCCTGTAGTTACATCATGACATGGGTAATCCAAGAACTGACTACACACCTCAGCATTAAACAACTCTGACACACAGAAAATAAATTGCTGCAGGGGTCAAGGACAACACAGAGGAAGCGTGTGAAGCTAAAGTACACACTCGGTTCGTGGCGCGGAGCAACGGTTTTCCAGCGTATTCATAGCCAGTGGGCATTACACCGCTTCAGATAAAGTCTTAGATAGAGGAAGTGGAAAGTAACAAACTTCCCAGGAGGACTTGGACACACAGTCATTTCTGTCCCACTAATTTCAACAAACGCTGAATGTTAATAAATGCTTCCTCAAACTATTGGTCAGATAAGCAGATCGTGCTGCCAAAAACTGAACAAATGTTGGGCTGAGCAATGTTAAAAGGGCTATGTTTACACTTTTTCGGAAAAATCTGATTACAAATGGATGACTGGTAGGAAAAAAATAGAATTAAAATTTTTTTTTTGGTATTTTTAAAAGTTTAAAAAGTATTTACAACAGAGCCACAAATGTAAAATGATTACGCTTTTATAGATTTGTAGTCCTGTTGTAAATACCTTTCAAAAATACAAAAAATTATGCTAAAATACTTTTTCTAAAAAAAATTTTTAAAAATACAAGCACTTGCATTGTGCACAAAGTATGTTTCTGACCATATTAAATGTCTGAATTAACAATGAATACCTTATTTGAATATGTCAGTCCTGTAGTTACATCATGACATGGGTAATCCAAGAACTGACTACACACCTCAGCATTAAACAACTCTGACACACAGAAAATAAATTGCTGCAGGGGTCAAGGACAACACAGAGGAAGCGTGTGAAGCTAAAGTACACACTCGGTTCGTGGCGCGGAGCAACGGTTTTCCAGCGTATTCATAGCCAGTGGGCATTACACCGCTTCAGATAAAGTCTTAGATAGAGGAAGTGGAAAGTACTGAATTTGGGCTCGAAAACAGTGACCTCACGGATTCCAATCCCTCATCTCTCTTTGCACGGTTCCCTCTGAGAGGAACTGCCAGAGGGGAAAACTTGAAAGCTAAAGAGAGTGAGGGAGGGTGCGTGAGAAAGAGCGTGTGTGTGAGAAACAGAGACAAAATGACATGCAAAGAGGAAAGAGTGTAGAGAAGCGGGGGAAAAAGCACAACAAAGTCAAATCTAGGTGCTGGCTTACCTGCACTCAGTTCACAAGATGGGACGGTGAAGTGAGGATAGTCAAAGGGGTTGTGGGAGGAAGGTCCGGGCAGGTTGATCCAGCCGCTGACGGGTGGTCCGGGAGGGAGGAAGGAAGGATGGAGTGACAGGGAGCAGGGAGATGGGGAGGCCAGAGGGGGGATATGAAGCACTAGTCCTCTGTCTTTCCCTCTTTATCCCTCTAGCACAGAGGCAAAGAGGCAGACACCAGTACCTGCAGCCACTCAAATAATAGGAGAGAAAAGAGTGCTCACATCCACACACGCTCCAGCACAGGGAGGAAAGAGAAAACGCCCCTCCCACTCCTTCCCAGGACCCAATCGCACACAGACTTCACTGGCAACGAATGGGAGCACAGGCAGCCGGTGCCATGCCCTAGCCAATAAGTGCAATTGCTCATATCCAGTTGGAATAATTAGTCCGAGAGCATAGCAGAGCGGCTTCCCTTCTGAAGGACAGACAAACGGGTGCACTTACCCAATAAGTGTGATTTAAGACCGCAACTGACATTAGAGTAATTAGATTGTGCCGCACTTAACCTAGCAGAATAACGCTGCATGCTCCACTGCAGAACTGGCAGAGGCACAGGCTACACGGGATGGGCTTTGGAAAGGTGCAGTGATGTTAAGCAGGCAGAAATGATGCGGATAGAGAAGGAGAAGGAATAGGAACTTTCAACACGGTGATCAATGCGCATGATTATCACGCAGTGCCACTTTTAGGCTTGGCGCTTCGCTCCCGAAATTCATAATCAGGGTCAGAAACGTAAAGAAAAACACAAAAAAAATTCTAAATCAAATTCAAAATGTTGGCCAAAAAACATCATAAATTCCTGTTGTTTTTTAATCATTATTATTATCATTGATTTACGGCATCTGACTGTTCTTAATATGCATTTCTAGGTCTGGTTATGCATATTATCACATACTCTATGAGTTAAAAACTGATTTCATTTTAAATGAACTGATCAAATACTATTTCTTACATTCACTACTGTTCAAAAGTTTGGGGTACAATTGTGTTTGTTTATTTGTTGTTTGAATGAATAAAAATAAAAAGCCTTTTATTATTATTAATTTAATCAAAAGTGGCATTAAAAATGTTACTAAAGATTTAAATAAATGCATATTTTTATTAAAATAAATATTTCGAATAAATGCAGTTTTTTACCCCCCCCCCAATTTTCTATTCATCAAAGAATGCTGAAAAAAACAAATAATGGTTTCCACACAAATATTAAAAAGCAACACAATAATAACTGACAAAAATAAGAAATGTTTCTTGCGCACCAAATAAGAATATCAGAATGATTTCTGAAGGATGACACTGAAGACTAATGGCTGCTAAAAATTCAGCTTTGCCAATTTGGAACATTTTTTATTTTAAAATATATTCAAATTTAAAAAATGTTTTTTTTTTACTGTAATAATATTTGACACTATTACTGGTTTTACTGTATTTCTGTTTTAAAAATGCAATCATGGTTAGCATAAAATACTTCTTAACAACAAAATTAAGACTTCTTAATATGAAAAAAAATCAAACAATTTTTAAAAGAATCTATAAAAATTCTAAACTTGTGAACTGTAGTGGTTTTAAATATATACATCTAGATATATTTATTTAAATATATACATATGAAAAATATAGAAATGCACCTTAATACCAAGTCTGGGGTGGCAAATATTGCCTGTTAATCAAAAAATGTATTTCTGACTTTGCTCACACTTTCACTGCATAAAACCAAAATCATAGACCTGGAACAGAGCTAATTTCACAAGATCTTTTTTTCTGTTCTCCAGATCAATACTCTGGCTCAGGTCTCGGCTTGAGAAATGATCAATGGTGAACTGTTAGAATGACGAATGTAATGCACATCGGCCAGCATTATCCCCTTCACAGCAGGAAGGACCGATGTGGGGACAGAGATGTAATAATGTCCTATTAACAACCGCAAGGAAAGCACCTCCATATACTTTCAGGATGACAAGGTGGTGCTCAAAGTGGCGAAACTTCTCTTAGCACCCGATTCTGCTGACGTCCAAGCAACCAGGCATTATTTAAGGGTCGGGGCTCCCAAGCCATTCTCGGCTTCTCAGAAAAATATGTATACTTCGGCTCAGTGAATCTTGTGCAGCAGTGAAATCGATGCACCTATTGATATCATGCATCACAACATGGGCCGATATGCATAAAATGAGCAAGCACAAACCTATGATGATTCAGCAGGTGTTCGCAAACAGCCCTCCCAGACATCACATACAACAGCGTATCAGTATTTACAAGTAAAGCAGTTTAAACACCGAGTTGACAGCGACAGTGAAATGTGCTATAGACTGTGGCACGCTACAGAGCGCAGGGCTTCCTCCAAGAGGACTGGGTGGGAGAGGAGGGCCCATAAAAAATGCATGAGCAACAGGAGGAGATGTCACATCGGATATTTTTCCAGCTGCAGAGATACTGGTGCGTGGAGAGCCGCGAGAGTAAAAGCACTTAACTTCCACTGCTAAACCTGCCAAAATCGTGCCAGCAATATCAGCGATTTAGACGTAAATCCATTGATGCACAAGAGATATAATGGCTTATGTATGGCTTGATGCGTAAATATCCACAATCACTATAAAAAACTAGTATTTATTCAGCCTGTATATCGAGGCTGTCATCACACTTACTGCCCCAGTGACTTACATTCAGTCTGAGACACAGATCTGTTTCATTATAAACACATTTACAATGGGGTTTTGAGAGCATGGCATACCACTGCCTAAGTCTACAATTTCAGAAAGATATCTCATCAAATATTCATTAATTCTGGAGTACAATCATGCTTTAAATGCCATGCTTAGCAGGGGAGATGGGCACCGCTTAGGCAAGAGGATTTATAACGTGTGGCACTTATAAGTGGATGTCATTATACTGGGGTTTGATGTCTTTAAACAGTGACTGGCAGTAAAAACAAACATATGTGGGCATCAAACAGAAATAAATAGTGGTTTTGTAGTTTTAAATAAAGCGGAATAATTGGTTATTGGCCTGTTACATTTTTTAAGAATTGCAACATATAAATCCAACCCAGGCTCTTTGGGAAGCATGCCTGTGGCGACATTTCTGCAAAATGATGTTACATTGGTTCTTGTACGTTTTGCGACACTTTCAAAGAAAAATAGCCTTGGTTGTGCTAAAAGCAATGTTTCGTTATGTTCATTTTTGTACATAACGCAGCATTTTAGAAATGAAATGTCTAGTGAGTGGCTCTACAAGATTAATGCTCTATCATGTTTAAAAATAATGTACCACCTACACTAAACCTAACTGACAGTTTTAGCGAAAGCAAATGTTAGCTAAAAGCTCATTTATTGAAGCAAACATGCCATTATAGCTTGCTTCCACAAGTCTTTGAGCTTTTTTTATCATGACTCATGTTTCACAGGACTGCAATGCTGTACCAGGTGAGCTATCGAGCAAGTTTACGAAGTCAAAAGTAAGAAAAGCCATACAAATAGCTGATTATGTAATGCAAAATCATCAAAATGTATTACGTTACAAATTCTGCACTATGGTAAATGTTTTAAAGTCAGAACATCTGCAAGGAACCATGTGAAAATAAATAAGTCTTTGTTATTTGATAATCTGCCCTGTAATTAATCTGTGTGAACAGGAATAAAAGTTGTTGGTGCTTTACTACCACTAGTGGTCATTTCAGCTGAACCTGCAGTGAATTGTAGTATAAATACGTGTTTGGAGTTTTGCAGAAATGTAAATGTTTTTCCAGTTGCAATACAGTTTGACCCTCATTAGTTTTTGTTTTATCTGGCATAAGTGACATGAGATGATCAGATGATTGGATTGGAAATACTAAAACTAAAACTTCTGAAAGTTACAGTATGTTTTTATAGCACAATCAACTCTTTATCTCAAAAGATAAGGGAATTTTGATTCCTAATGATATGACTTCTTTAATGCTTTTTAAAACATTTTCATGGTCGGTAAAAAATATTTATGGATTGTAAATTATCTTAACATCCACTGACGCATGAGTGAGGCATAACATTCATTTTGGGTCCTACTCATATGGTTTAGTAACCTTTGGCAGTCTGTAGATTGCAATGACTATGATTTCATTGTTAGTGCAACAAATAAGCCGATATTTTGCTCAGTATAATTTTGAGTAATGAGGGCTATCATATTTCCATAGCCATTCTTGTGACATCTCATTTAAGCTGCATCTCATTGACAGTTTTGGCAGCTTCATATGCAAAGAAGAGAGCGCAAGATAGTAAATGAAGCGGCAGCATAAACCACCTCCATAAAACCAACAGCGCTCAGTGGCACAGCATCTTCATTTCAGTGACTCACAAAGACAGCATAAACACAGCACGTCTAACAGACATGGCTTTGCCTCCGCTACCAATGTAATTAAAGCCAACATCTTGTCCTGCTCTCGTATCATTACCGTCTGTAGACCATTTGGATGCGCTTTGTTATTACTTACTTGCTGCTAAATATAGATTTCCTGTGCCAGCGCTAGAGATTGCAGTCAGCTGCAAATTGTTCCCCGTGTTTGCAGTCACAAAGACTTACGTGGACACTATATCACTCGACAGGGGGGCAACAAGCTCTTTTGGATCTGTCACCTCTTTTTTGGGGGGTCAGTATAAAAACCTGATTGCAAAGAATAAAAAAAATGAAGGCTTATATTTAGGATACTTCAGCGCTGTATTAACTGTTATGCTTACATACTAGAAGTAAAAGCATGATTTCTATTTTATTTGATCAGCAATTTTCCACATTTTAGAATACTATTAAAGCAAAAATATGAAATAACACAAATGGATGTGTATTAGTGATTGGCAAATCAACCAGTTTCATGAGGTGGTGCTTCTCCCTTACTATCCAGTCAAACTCATCCATAAAATGTTAGTGTCATTAAAAAAAAAATCACATGTAGGCACAATACATATGTATCCATATAACTCAATTTAAGTTTAAGCCTGTATATCAAAGTCTGAGTCACGACTCAGAAACATAAATTTAATCTTTTTTTTCAGACTGTGGAAACTAGTTTTAATCTTCACATTTTAATCAAGTGAATTTCTTAGGTTTACTTTTCTGTATAGTCATATACCTTAAAGTCTAAGGAAATGCTATTGAAGAAAGAATTACACATCGCCCAGAAACACTTAAGGATAGATAGATAGATAGATAGATAGATAGATAGATAGATAGATAGATAGATAGATACTGTGACGAGAGGGGCAGGGCCGAGAGCCGTGGGAACGGAGCGAGGCCGGTGGCCGTCACAGTATCTATCTATCTATCTATCTATCTATCTATCTATCTATCTATCTATCGTTCTGTGTATCTATCTATCTAGATCGTAGAAGTTTTACTAAATAAAAACATGTTTTGAATTACGTATTTGAAATTACCTGAATATTGGGCAAACCTTCTAAAAGAGAGATGTAGGTCCATTAGAAATTACGAAGATGGCACAGGCCGATGGGCATTAAACACCGATCACACCAAGGACGATAACTATAAAGATACCGCTATTAGCATCCACACCAGCGAGCGATATCGTCTGTTTATTCTAAGCGCAGGCTAGTCTGCCACTTTAAATTCTCGAGCTCGTTACAGCAGGAGGATTGATTCTGATCGGCTGTCAACTTTTTATCGTTCATCAGCCGGAGAAAAATCGTTTTGAAAGTGATTCCAACGATATCGTTTCTCTTTGTCATTATAGTTGTGGTGTGGACTCTGCTATTCTTTAATACTGAGAACGATTTTTAGAACTATATCTTTATAGTTATCTTTAAGCCCCGTTCACAGCAAGAACGATAACTATAAAGATAACTATAATGATACCGATATTAACGTCCACACCAGCGAACGATATAGTCTGTTTATTCTAAGCGCACATGCATCTGCCGCTTTAAATTCTTGAGCTCGTTACAGCAGGATGGATTCTGATTGGCTGTCAGTGTTTTATCGTTTGTCAGCTGGAAATAAAATCGTTTTGAAAAGATATCGTTCCTCTGTATCGTTATCGTTATCGTTGCGGTGTGAACTATGCTATTCTTTAATATTGAGAACGATTTTTAGAACTATATCTTTATCGTTATCTTTATAGTTATCGTTCTTGGTGTGAAGTGTTGCATTCACCTGTCTACATTGTATAGAAGCCGCATCAAAGCTACAAATACATTGTGTGGTTACACAGAGGCAGCAAAAACGTGTTTACACAAATTCATGATCGAGAGAATGTGAATCACGCGCGATTGTAGCTTTGAATAGCAGAAAGAAATAAGACGCTTGCTTAGTGTCGTGACTGATCTGCTGTAGTTCAGTGAATTCACCCTATAGAATCAGTTTTGGTTTTTCTGCTGAAGATTTTCTGCTGAATCGTATGAATGATATTTTTACCTGATAACCATTCTAGATGTTTTGTTGTGGACTCGCTTCCCTCTGGTTTATGTCATGGTCAAGTGTTTAGGCCTACTGATTAGCTCAAAATCTGAATATCCATCACTAACCATCAGACTTGCCGTAGCCCATCAATTTTACATTTTCCAAATTAGATACCGTAATATTAGAACCATATGAAAGGCAAAATAAAGATTGAAGGGACGGAGAAAAATAACATAGGGTGCATTATATTTAACCACCGACGGCATGTCTGATTCGTGAACGAATTGTTCTTTTGAGTAGGATCTTTTTAATGAATAGGTTGAGCCTTTGAATCAGAATGGTCGAAATCAGGGGTGCCCAAACTCGGTCCTGGAGGGCCGGTGTCCTGCAGAGTTTAGCTCCAACTTGCCTCAACACACCTGCCTTTAGGTTTCTAGTATGCCTATTAAGAGATTGATTAGCTGGTTCAGGTGTGTTTAATTGGGGTTGGAGCTAAACTCTTCAGGACACCGGCCCTCCAGGACTGAGTTTGGACTCCCCTGGTCTAAATTATTAATTTACCATTCAGAATGAATCCTCAACATCAACAATTCACACTTTTTAGCATCTCTTTCAGACAAATCCGAATCGAAATTGGTGCTAAACTAAGGATTTGACTGATGAGGCGAAAAGTTACTTTAATAGTAGAAATCGTACAGATGAAACGAACTGCTAGCCTATACTCTATATTAGTTTATATTAAATTAAATTGAGCCACTTTTGCCTTTGATCTTAATAACAAAAAGTTACACTTTTTTATCTAAATTGCTTTCCTGGAATTTCCCCTAAGGGTCCCCCTATTGCTGTAGCAAGGATTTGCTGCTGTTAAATATACCCCAATTTGCACCCATTACTCATCTGGAAGTTTCTGGGGAAAGATTTGTGCATTTAAGGACGTTTACCTTAGAATAAAACGTTGTCTTCTTTTGTTTCAGTACAGATCACAACAAAAACAACAATAGTTAATCATAAAGACAGTCATCCTGCTGAACTCCTGCAGAGTTCCTGCTGTCATCCTCCATCTGAAACCATTTTAAACAGTACTCCTTAATTTCCATAGCATTTTAGTTATTTTTGGCACACCATTTTGCTTAATTTTCACTTAATCAGCTTTCTCAAATGGCCATGGGTTATTTTACCACAGACTTGGTCCACCTGCCCGAAATGCTTGCAGAGGACCTTTAAGTCCTGAGATACAAAAGGGGACGCTTCACCAGCTCGCTGTCAGCAGTCTCTGATTTGTGCCTTGAGGCCCTCTCAAGGCCACATTGCTAAATCCTATTGAACAGGCTGTAAAACCCTTCAGGCGGACAGAGAATCAGTGCAATAGGCATTGAGGAGGGATTGCAATGTCATCAAAGGGGCACGCTGTGCAATTTAGAGACATGCATGAATCAGGACTTTGGGGCCCTTTGCCATAGGTGCACAGAAGACATTTGCTGGAGAGTATTTCAGTGCTTAAACAGCATTTAGTAGAAACGCATAGTTTACAGTTCCAAGCATTGAGAATGAAGAGCACTTATGCTGATCAAAGGTGGCTTTTATGTGAACTAGAAGCAAGGATATATACCAAAAGTCACTTAATCTTAACCTGACAGTTCTTCAAAATATTTGTTTCGATGAATATATAACTTTAGTAGCTATTTTTGGGTGAAATACTCCTTTAAACATCTAATGATTGTGGAGAAACATGAATCTCACAAACGAAAACAATAGGTAAAAACCTTTATGAATTTAATTTCTAAAATACATACTTAATACTTGGGAGAAGAAAAATGTACCTTTATTTTTTAGTAATCAGCCAGTGAACAGTAAACACATTCATGATATGAAATGGCTTGTGAATGAATTTCTGATATGTTAATATTGTGCATGAATAGACAACACAGACTAAGATATGTGTAGACAGTTCAGGTTTTAAGAAAATAGATTTTGATACACAAGAACTAGTGCCAAAGTTACTGTGGCAAACAAAAACAAAATCATTTATTCAGTGCCTCTGAGACATGGTACAGCACAAACTGGTAAAAAAAAAAGACTACAAGCCCACAGGATTGTACTGAATACATCAGTAGCACTATAGTGGATTAGGTGTATGAAATTCCATATGGATAGAAGATAAAGTGTCTTCATAAAACACATCTGTCTCTCCCAAATAACACTGTCAGCAGCTGTTTCATCAGTGAAAAGCACCGAATGCAACCAAAGCCTCTGAAATGTCCAATGAGTTATAGGACATGTAACCGCTATTTCTGAGTAACAGAATTTTTTACGTTAATATTTGTTACAAAAATCTTGCAGCTTCCCCTCTTTACTTAAATCATTCACTTTACTTTATCAAAACTTCTGGAATCAACCAGAAGTGTAAAACAATGACACTAAGAAGAATGTCCATATGAAATTTCACATTAATCACAATAAAAAAAACACACTGTGATCACATAATTGCAAGAGAAGTATTTAAAATTAATTTTTGTACAAAAACTCTTGAGGGATAAGTATTGAATTATTCAAAGCATCTTCTTTTTGCCCACTTGAGCTTTTTCGAGAGAGTGGCTAGTTAACTTATTTCAGTCTTTCACTTTTATCTGTGGAAGTAAGTAAAAGTGCTCACTAAAATCAGTTTCAAATCATATTTTAGCTCTCTTTATTGCAAAATAAATATTTTCTCTTTTTGAAATCCTAAAACTAAGATGTCAGGTTTGCCCCTCAGTATCCAACAAACCTTGGATGAAAATGGAAACGGTACAGACAAATAAGTGGAAAAAGTTACACAAAAAATATAGCTAAAATTGGTTAAAAATACCAATTAAGACGTCTTAAAAAAAACAAAAAAAAACAACACAGATGACAAACAATTCATATACAAAATTTTATATGGATACAGTTAAAAACACTGCCTCAGTTGGCCTCACTTCTCTGGTTTAAACCCCTGAAAAATATGTGCCAATGCCCTGAGAGAGAGCAAACACCTCCACGTTCAACCTGCCTCTTTGGCGTTACAGTGAGGGAACAGATGACTGGCAAATTCTCCTTAAGGCAGACTCAGTTCTTTTTTAAAAAATGTGTCATTTTCTTTTTTTCCCCCATTCGTTACATACAGACATCTACTGGAGCGAAACTGGGTCTGTATAAATTGTTGTGTCGAGTGTTCAAAGGCTCTTCAGGACGGCTTTATTTCTTTGATTGTGTCATGTAGCTGTTCTCGATGCACAGCACGATGTAGGAACTGGAGCAGCTGCTGGAGGTCTGCTGGAGGAGCTGGCCAGCCTGCAGAGATGAGGCCAAGCCTGTCACCGCACGGTCTCCGGCCCTCCACGTCTCACAGTAGTTATCCGTCTGCCTGTGACCCCTGCCACTGGACCCATGCCAGATCATCTTCTCTGGCCTACAGGATAGAGGAAGAAAAACAATCAATTTAGGTGGTTTAAGATAGCCTCAGACTGCATTCAAAAGCAGGAACACCTTTCCAAAATTGCAAAGTCAAATCGCAATGCCTGACTGTGGGATCAGGATGCACAAGTTTTTAATCCATCGACTGGGAAACTACATTTTGTTTACAAGGTACCAGACAGCTACAATGAGTTCTGAGGAAGAATAAATCATTGGACCAGCCTAAAATTTGGGCACTGAATTGTTGAAAGATTTAGAATAGAGTGACAGAATCAACATAAAGATAGAATGAATGATAGATTAAATCATATACTGTAGTTAGAATGAATGTTAGAACAATTATAGATACACAGAACGATAGATAGAACTATAGATAGATAGATAGATCGATAGTGTGACGAGAGGGGCGGGGCTGAGAGCCGTGGGAACGGAGCGAGGCCGGTGGAGAAAACGCTAATGCACGACACCTGCGCCACTCACCGGTCTCGAGTCCCATGGAGGAGCTCCGGAAGGATAAAAGGAGGAGTGACGACACTGTTGGAGGAGGGAGGACCAGGCCTGGTCCAACACTGTCGTCACTCCTCCTTTTATCCTTCCGGAGCTCCTCCATGGGACTCGAGACCGGTGAGTGGCGCAGGTGTCGTGCATTAGCATTTTCTCCACCAGCCTCGCTCTGTTCCCACGGCTCTCGGCCAAGCCCCTCTCGTCAGATAGATAGATAGATAGATAGATAGATAGATAGATAGATAGATAGATAGATAG